GCTGTTCTCCCCTAAGCAAGGAAAACAGCATTCACTCTATTTATTAGCCCTGGGGGTGGGGTGTTAATCTGATTTTGAGGGGTGGGAGCTTGTTGAAATTTGTGCTGTCAAAAATCTGTATACAGAATGTGAAAAGCCACTTCTGTTACGGAGCTCACTTGGTCACTCTTGCTGGGAGGGGTTGGGAAGACAACAGCCGAAAATAAGGATGTTGTCCCCAGTATTTGAGGTGAGCTGTTCATTTCACAGACAGTGGTGAGGAGAATGAGAAATATATTGAGGAAACAGGGCACGGAGACACAGCCTTAGTTAATAAGAGGACATAAAAAATTAGGTCAATTTCCTAATACCCCAGTTTTTTTAAGGAACAAACCCTCTTGTCTGGGGTTTTCCTATAGAGGAGATATGAGGATCTAATACTAAAGAAAGGGATCTAAGGCATAATCCATCCCTTGCACAGGATTCTTGGATTTACTAGCTTACTTTTGAGTTATTTTGATGGTTCTAAGCCATGCAAATCAGTGAGATAATCACAAGGACTGTGGATTGTTAGCTGTGTTTCTGCAGCTTGTGAACTTAGCCCCCAAATAAACCGACAGCTCTTCTGGACAGAGCTGCTTTACATAGCAACCTTCTCTGGTGTTGGATTGTATTCACTGTTCTGTTCAGGGGTGAAAAGTCCTGTGCAGCATGTGTTGGCCTAGCAGAATGAGCTCACACGAAAAGAGCAATATAGCTGCCCCCTTTCTTCCTTTCTGGAAAAGCGAGTGAATTTACGGCTGTTCTTGTGTATGTAGTAAAGCTGGCACCACAACCCCTACTTTGTCAGCAGTAGGACAGTTGAGGGGAAGAAAAGCTTGGCGTAACCTTTGGTATGTTATTTATTATCACTTTGCAGCCCCCTGGAAAATGAACTTTAGAAAATTCTGAGCCGATGGTAACGGTGAACACTGGGAAAACCAGGGAATCAGCAAATCCATTGTGTTGTGCTGACAGAAAGATACTGTTACAACACACTTTAGCTGCCAACTTGCTGCAGTCACTCAATCCATCATGGTGGGCTGTTGGATCACAAGCCAGTGAAACTCAGCCTGGCGTGTTATTTTAGTCTTACATGGACTGTGAGATAAACGGGGCATGAACCGGCCCCCTGGCAGGGGGTCGACCCCTAGCGCCCTCATTAAAGTGCCAATCAAAAAGAGTAATGGAACAGGGAATGGAAAGCTGGCTTCTTCAGCCTGTTACCGCTCTCAGTCTGAGCAACTTTCACAAGCCAAGGGAAACATTTCTCTTCTGAATAGGAGCCAGACCTCCAGAAATACCTTCCTCTCTGCTTGTCTCTGTGAGAGCAAGTCCTGAGGCTCTTTTGGGTGTCTTGCTTGCGGTGGAAACCTGTTGCCTACTGTGCTTGTTCAATGCAGGTAGTGGGAAGAGTTGTTGCCGAATGCAACCAGAAAGGGTGCAGGTTCTGTGGAATATGCAGGCACTGTGCTGTGCTTGCACTGATCATCAGTCGGTCAGTGGTATGGTTTCTGTCACAAATTGCTCGTATTTCAACGTTTGTGCATGAAAGATGCAGAACCTTGCTTTTCCCCCATAGCAGTCCAGTTACCAACTGCCTCTAGAAGGCATCTTGTGTGTGCAAGGTGCAAAAGTGGATTCTTGTGCTGTGTGTGGGTTATTTCAAACTCCCACAGGAACCCACAGCAAATAGGCCCCGTGGTAATGCCATAATCTTGGGTGAATGTACAGCTAAGGCTCAGGCATACATGCAGTGCTAAGCTGCCTAGCTTTGATGGTTAATATTTCAAATAGGCATGTAACCGCTGCTTTGATAATGGATGTTTGTCTTTCAAATTCTGAGTATATCCAACACTGCTGATGCTGTGGGAATCTCTGCATGTCCTGTGATGTATTTTTGGTTTCTGGTGTATAAATACATGTTCTTCTGCACGTCAGCTTCCCTCTGGTGTGTGCTGGGAGGAGAAGGCAAAAGGTAGCTGCTGAAAAGAAAGAAAGGTGGGTGAAAGTCTATGTGTTATGTGGATTTAGCATTTGCAATCAGGAAGCTCGAAGCTGGGGAGTTAGCTCTTAAACCTGCTTATAAATGTCAGCTCTTGGTGTGATCTTGCTGTGATTATGAACTTGGCAGCTGTTTATTTTTGCTCACAACCTTTTGTCAGCAGGCAGTTTCTCCAGGTGGATATTGGTTTGGTTTAAAATATTTTTTTAATGGGTTGGAATTAGTGTCAGTGAACAAAAATGTACAAATAGTAACTAGCTTCACTGTGAGTAATGGATTCTCCTGTCATGAAACTAACAAGGTGGTCAAATTTCCAGTTGACATGCCATTGCATACTGAGGCTGGTACAGATTAGAGAAGCCCTTAAGAAGCATTAGAGGAAATTAATACAGGTAGCAAGTAAAATGCATGATTGGAGATCAGCTTTATACCAGACTAGGTCAGAAAGAATAATTTTATCCGTTTATATACAGTATCGTGTTCTTGTATTGTACATATACCTGTCTGAACTCAGGGTGTAAGAATCCTCTGAAGGGTCATAGTGCAACTGCTGTTATACCACAAATAGAGAGGCATATTGTAGCACAGAAGATAGTGCTAAATATAATCTTCACATTTCTGGGATGTTGACCTCAAATACTGTTCCCTCCATACTTTGAGATTAAAAGAAATCCTGAAAAATGTGTTGGCACGGGAAGGATTATTCAAAGGGCCTAGAACTGCACACTGGCAGAGGGCAAACATCTCTGGTGGTATTCTGCCTGGTGTCTGAGTTGCTGCGTCAGGGGCTTGGCCTTACCAAAATCAGGCTGGGGGGGTGAAAGTGGAGGGGTGTCTTGTCCTGCAAAAGGTTGTTTGCTCTCCGCTCCCCCCCTCTCCCCCCCGCCATATGCAGGCACCATTTTTTTGCTACATTATTCTGATATCCAGTGGTTTGTAGTGCTGATTGTCGATTGTTTGCTAAGGGCCTTGAAGAAACAGTCATTAGGTACGGTGAGTTACCTCCCAGATCAAAGCAAATGTTTGCTGTTGCTGTGGGTTGAGGGACAGTTGGTATGACAGATTTTTATTTGTTAAAAATTCTCTACAGCTGCAGCATCCAGGGGACCTTTTTTTGCTGGCATTTTCAGTGTGCAGAAACAATTGTTCTGTAGCTCCCATACACAGTCCTTGTCCTTTGTGTGACCCATCCATTTATCCAAAATGTAAATGCACATGAAAGCTGTTTACTTCTCTCGTGGCCTTTTAGTACTTTTGAGTCAGACCAGAGTAGGCCTGAGGTGCAAGGTTATTCTTATCCAGCGAGAGAACTCTTTGTGCTGGGCACATTGCTTGGGCAATAGCCTGTCAGCTACAGAAACAAAACCACCACCAAAACCCCCAACCAAAAAACCCTTGTGATTCTGGAGTCTGATTACATTGAGGCAACTTAACTGTACAACAGGCATTAATAGAATTGATATAATGCAGTAGGCATGCGTCTCTTATGTAACTGCATTTCGCTCCAAGATTATTTTTATTTCTCTACTAGAATGTGCTGTAGTTCTACTGACGAACATAGCAAAAAAATTTTTTTTTTCTCCCCCAATATTTGTCAGTGGTTAATGAGTAACCTTTTTTTTTTTTTTTTTTTCCCTCTAAAAATCTTTATCATTAAATACTAGAGTTCTATAAAAACAACGGTATAGGGAACTTATGATTAATAT